ATACAGGCATTTAGTGCTGTATTTATTTCCCTAAGTACTGCTTAATAGGCATCATATAAATACGGAGATGTTGTGTTTTTTTTTCTTTCCACTTAGTTCAAAATACTTTCCAAGTTCCACTCTGACCCACTGGTTACTCAGCTATGCATTGTTTACTTCCAAATATTTAGAGATTTTTCAGATATTGTTCTATCCTTGAGTTCTATTTTATTTCTGTTGTGTTCATAGAACTTAAATTCTTATAAATTTATTGAGATTTGTTTTATGGCCCAGGATATGATCTATCTTGGTAAATATTCTCTGTGTACTTGAAAAGAATGTATGTCCTGGTGATGTTGTGTAGTGTCCTATAAAGGTCAGTAGGTCAAGTTGACTGATGTTGTTTAGAGTGTCCTATAAAGGTCAGTAAGTTGACTGACAGTAGGTCAAGTTGACTGACAGTGTTATTCACATCTTCTGTGACTTCCATAGTGAACACAGTTCTTAAAAAAATCACTTACAACAGCATCACAAAAGATCAAATACTCAGAGATAAGTTTGACAAAAGATGGAAAGTCCTGTACACTAAACTCTACAGAACCTTGCTGAGGGATATTAAAGAAGACCCATCCTACTAGAAAGATATGTCATGTAGAGGGGTCAGAAGACTCAATATTGTTAAGAAGTCTATTCACCCCAAACTGATCTATAGAGTCAATGTAATCCCAATTTAAATATTAGCAAACCTTTATATGGAAACTGAAAAACTAATAATAAAATTGCTAGAGAAATGCAAAGGACTTCTAACAGCCAAAACATTTCTAAAAAAGAACAAAGTTAGACAACTAACATTATCTGATACAGGACTTACTATAAAACTTCAGTGGTCAAGGCAGTGTAGTATTGGCATTATGACAAACAAAAAGATCGACAGAAATTAGAGTCCAAAAATAAAACTACACATAAATATATTTTAAAAAATGAAGGTAAAAAAAATCAGGAGAGAAAGGAGAGTAATTGGTGCTGGAACAACTGAATATCTATATGCCAAAAATATGAACTTCAAACCATTCCTCACAACCATATGAAATGGACCATAGAATGAACTATAAATTCTAAATTCTAAAACTATAAAAATTGTAGAAGTAAACATAGGAGAAAACCTTAGTGACCTGGGATTCAACAAAGATTTCTTAGATATACCATCAAAAACATGACCTATAAAAAAAAACATAATTTAAAGTCTGAAATTAAAAACTTCTGCTCTTCAAAAGACACTATTAAAAGAATGAAAAGACAAGTCAACTGAGAGAGAATATTTGAAAATCATACATCTGATAAAGGACTTGTATCCAGAATATATAAAGAACCAAGACTTTATTACAAGAAAACAACCCAATTAAAAACCTGGGCACGTTATTTAAATAGACACGTCAAAGAAGATATATGAATGGCAAATCAGCACATGACAAGATACTCACATCATTAGTCAGTTGGGAAAGACAATGAAAACCACAATAAGACACTACTGCATAAAATTTTAATATCTAAAGACTGACCACACCAAGTGTTGATGAAGATGTAGAGAAACTACAGCTGGGAATGTCAACTAGTATAATCACTTTAAAATCTATTTGGCAATTCCTTAAAAATTTAAACATGTACATTCTATCTAATTCATTTATTCCACTCCCAGGTATTTTCCTTAGAGAAATGAAAGCACATGCCCATACGAAGACTTATACATGGATGTTCACAACAGCTTACTTGGCAGTAGCCCCAAATAGGAAACAACCCAAAAGTCTATCAACAGTTGATAACAACGGTGATATATTCATATGATGCTATTCTACTCAGCAATAAAAAAGAATGAACTTCTGATAAACATTACAACATGGGTGGATATCAAAATTATGCTGAATGAAACAAACTAGACCCAAAAAAGAAAAGAGTAGTACAGACTATATGATTCCATTTATATAAAATTCTAAGAAACATAAACTAATATATAGTGACAGAAAGCAGATCAGTGTTTGACTGGGACAGGGGTTGAGAGGGGGAGGAGGAAGGGACTACAAAGAGGCATGGGGAAAATCTGGGGGTGATAGATGTGTTCATTACTTTAATTGTGGTGATGGTTTCACAAGTGTATACATATGTCAATACAATGAAGTGTACATACATAAAGTATATGTCAATTACATATCAATAAATCTGTTTTCAAAAAGATTTATAAATGATTATTATTAAATATTAGATTTTTGACAGACATTCTCTCAAAATTGAATTAAGTAAGTCCAACACTTCAAGGCAATAAACTGCCAGTTTTTGTTACCGGGGAAAAAAATCCAAGCTTTGCAATGAAAGTTAAAATTTTGGAAAACACATTTGCTATAAAGAAGTTGATACTTCCTATTACTTTTCCAGTGAGATTAGTGATGATATTAATGAATGTGGTCTTTTGATACTGTATAATGAATTACTTCACTGTTTGGAAGATCTATATAACCTGGTCACTTGATATTTTCCAAATGAGAAATGACAAAGCATGATGCTACAAAAATCATGTATTCATCTTATAAGATTGACAAATGGAATTAATGTAACAGAGTATGAAAAGTTCAATGTGGTTTCAGATCAGACAATGCAACTAACCTCCAAGAAAATTTAGCAAAGTCCACTGTGGTAGGCAGAATTTGAAGATGGCCTCCCAGTAATGTCCCACCCTAATCCCTGGAACATGTGAACATGATTAGATATCAATCCCATAATTATGTTTTATCATATTGCACAGTTGCCCTAAAGATAGGCAGATTAGCCAGGAGAGCCTGATCTAATCACAAGACCTTTCAAAAAAGTGGAGGGTATTCTCCCAGTTTTTTTGAAAAACAAAACAGAACAAAATGAAAAACAGAAGGAGAAGTTAGAGAAATTCAAAGCACTTGAAAGATGTGACACACTGGGTCTGAAGATCAAAGAATGTAGGAAACCTTAAGAAGCTGGGAGATGCCCTTGGCTCACAGCAAGAAAAGAAAGGGAACCTTAGGCCATTTCTCAGCTGTAAGAAATGAGACTTTGCCACCAACCGGAAGGAGTTTGGAAATGGATTCTTCCCCAGTGCCTCCAGCCAAGAATTTTTGGCTTTATGAGACCCTAAGCAGAGAACCCCAGTAAATCCTGCCTGGACTTCTAACCTACACAACTGTGAGGTAATAAATGGATATTGTCTAAAGCTGCCATGTTATGATCATTTGTTGTGCCGCAATAGAAAGCTAATACATTAACCATAAATCAAAATGCACATAAACTCAGATCCAACTCAAGCACTGTTTAAAAAAGAAAAAAAAAAACCCAAATAATAAAAAGGGAAACAACCAAAGTATCCATAAATAGAAGATCGATTTAAATTATAGAAAGCCATATAATGGAATATTCTGTAGCCATTATAAAGAAAAGGTAGAACTATATGGATGAATATGAAACAATGAAACCATGTTATATTAATAATAGAAAAAAAATCAGCAATGTTAAGATTTTGAATAATTAAAACATTTGCATAAAATCATGGTATCTATAGTAAATATTTTCCTGGGCAGGGGGAACACAAAAAAATAAATAGCAATTAGCTTTGGGGTAAGATTAGGTTGTTGAGTAGGACATTTTCTATTGAAGTTTATTATTCTTAATCATTTAAAAAAAAATATCAATAAAGGTTACTATTTAGTGTCCAGATAAACACTTTCCTGGCTCTCTTCCAAAGCTATCTTTTGCTTTATGCAATTTAGACCTGCCATCAGGAATTTGTTACCATGCTCCTTTAATCAGTCATAGTAACACCAAAATGACTTTTCTTCATCAAGTCTGCTCTACCTCTCAAATCTAAGTTTCTCAGTGACATCCCTTATTAACTGGGGGCATCATTTTCATTATGTGAATGTTTTATGTATTTATAATACTTAAACATCCCATTTTAATTAAAATTATAGGCTATTCAATTGTTTTAAAAATTTTGTATGAAAACTGTATGAAAGCTACTTTAAGATATAAATCGTAAATAGTGTAAACCATGCAAATATATATTGCCATCTTGAGGCTGAAAATGATTGTGATCTAGGAATCCTTCAGTTATATGGTAATAAAGAAATATTCCAATAACAATCAAATCAGCATGGTAAAATTGGACCAATTTATACTTTAATAATGAAAGAATTATGTGAAAAGTTTTTAATGGGCAATCTACAATATCAGGTTTATGTGATGTATATTAAAGTTAGAAAAATGTTTTATATTCCTTTAAGTTTCTTCTTGTAAAATGAATAGTTAAGGTAACAAAGCAAATCCTTTTCAGTTATTAAATACTGTATTTATAAATCTTATCAAGATCATATTTTACCTCTGATTATATTTTTTACAACAGAAAGATGTACAATAAAAATAAAGATAACACGGTATCAGTTTGATGTTATCCTTGTTTGTTGGCAAAAGTAGTTAACCAAAATACCTGGAGGTGTTAAAAGTCACCAGAAAGAAATAAAAGGACAAATTCCTAGAGAGATCACCTTTTTTTTGTCCACATATCAAACAAGTTCATAGTTTGTGACCCAAAACATTATGATATTATTATATACAACTAAACAAAAGGATGTCCGGTAATGTACTTGTAAAATGATATACAATGAACGAAATATAAGACAGTACTATCATTATTATAAAGTAAACCTAAGTAGACTATTTATCTAAATAGCCTTTCTCACCGAAAGATTATATATAACTAATTTCCATGTGTAACTACAATGTAATAATATATCTTCTCTTACAAAGGTTGGCTGACACTTTCTAGAAACTGGCAAGTATTATAGACTATAAAAATATCAAATATGTGTACAAGCTCTTCATCATCAGGAAAATGTTAAACAAAATCCTTGGAAACTTAACAAGGAGAAACCAAAGAGACTAAACATATAAAAGCAATAAAACATGACATTAAAATGTCATTGAGGAAACCTCTAAAATCATATTACCTGGAACCAGTTCCATAATTATGTAGATAGGCTGTCTTTGTGTGCAAACTCCTATAAGTTTGACAATATTGGGATGATCATATTGCTTGAGAATTCTGGATAAGAGAAGTATAATAATAGTTACCATTTAAGTTGTAAGCATTAATTTATGATCATGAGTAGTGTGCACAAGTAGAATGCACTTTAATCAACACAATTTTTAAAACTTTAGTACGAACCCAAATTATGATAAATGGGATGTATAAGTCTTGACAAATCTTGGCAAACTACAGATATAAATGAGTCAGTTTTTATTCAGTTAAATATTCATTTAAAAATTATTATCAACTCTGAATAGGTAATAAGCATGCTAAACAGGAATAACTTACTTAGTCCAAAATATGCAGAACTCCCTTCAAAGAATCTGGTTTTAGCCACCCTCACAAAAGCTGGAAAGTATTAGTGGACCAAAAACTGTAAGCTGTTAGGGCAGCATCTTTTTGTTTTGTTTTATTTTATGTATATACTTCATTTAAAACAAATAAAAATAGAACGATTCATATTGGTAAATGCTATAGAGTAATCACCTCATATTTAGATTTCATAATACATACTCTCTTGATGATCATGATCAACTTCAAAATAGTAAAAACTCAAAAAGTTTTGAGAAAACGGGCAGAAGGTTAAACAGTGAGTTTAACAGTAAACAGTAAACAAACAGTAAGACTTAAGCTGAGGCAGAGAAGTTTTAGTTTGGATAAAGGCAGAATTTCAGAGAGCTGTAAAAGCATAGACTCATCTATAGGACCCCAAGCATGAGTTAAAAATAGATTAGATTCCCTCAGAAGCCTGTCTACCCTGATGATTTCTGTTACCAAATGATCTTCCACGTTATCCTATTGACATAGTTATAAATTCACTCATATTTGAAAAAACACAGTTTCCTTTCTAGGAGAATGAAAAAAATAACTTCATTTGGAGAAAGATAAAACAGTTTATATGTGTGCTGTACATGTACAACTAAAGCAGAGATAGCTCTAAGAAAAATGTTATCGATTGAAAATATATAAATTTAATAAATGAAAAAATACACTGGGAAGAATTCTAGAGATAAAGAAAATGTTCTGTCAATAACTGAGTTTGCACTTTCTATGAGGAATTAGAAAGGAAGTTTTAGAATGATTGACTGTAATCCAAAATGTCATTTCTTAGGTTGAAAACTGCTTAATAAAGAAATTCCACAAAACAGCCAGGATGAATCCAAATGACATTAAATAGCTAAATATATAGCTTTATTATCTGTTAAAGGATACTTGGGAGTTTGCATGGATGTAATTGTCATTTTTAACATAAAATTTCAGTCTCACTTTAGAAGAAGAAATTAAACTCTATCTTTCAGTAAAAAATTCACAAATTAGAAAGCAAGATACCTTAAGATACCTATGAATAACTAAAATAATGAGGCTATAAGTTTCAATTGTGATAGCATACCTTTAAATTCAACATAGGATATTTTTTCTGAATTGCTAATAATATACATGAAAAAGGTTTGCAACTTTATTCCACAGATAATATTTAATAAATGCACCCAACTAGTTTAATCCATTGCTATAAATATCCATTTTTAGATGATGGAGAAATGACATTAAGATGCTCTATGCCACAGGATTTAGTTCTTTCATTGCCATGCCCTCTGTTCTCCCATGGCACTTTCCAAAAACTTCAATTTTATATACAATGCCATGATGGAGACAACACACACACACACACACACACACACCTTTCCTTCCTCCCCTTTATACCACCAATCTATGGATCTATATATCCTCCTTCTCCTTCTCTCCCTCCCAACTATCCACCTACTCATCCACCCATCCATCTCCCATTCATATGTCCATTCTCACTCTATCCAAAGCTCCTTTCCATTTGTTTTGTGTTTTGTTGTATATATTAGATTTTACCACTAACAAAAGAGTTTAAACTATTTGCAACATAGGGCTGGCAGGTTGGAACATTAAATTCTAGCTAAAACAGAAAAAAGAGAAGAAAATCATCCTAAAAGATCAGTTAGAAAAGAAACAATGCAATGAGCTGAAGAAGAAATTTGAGATTCTCAGAAAATAAAGCTAACAGCTGGGAATAAAGAATCAAGCAATAATATCTAAGGAGGGTAGGAAAGATGTAATTATATACCTAAATATATGTCTAAGTTATGGATTTTATATATAGAATACAGTAATATTCTTAGTATAAGGACAATCACAACACTGCATATATGCATATGTGTATATGCACGTGTGATAAAAGCAAAAAATACTGCAATATTTTTCAAGGACTCAAAGAATACTCACTGTTCTCAAAAGCATCTGGTTCTTTTGACTGTGATTGCCTAACTGACCTGCAGTCTAACTCAAATACACAGAAACTTTTTGTTTTCACATTGTATGATAAGTGCCTACTTTTGAGGGCCCTGAAAGTGCTTACTTCTAATTCATCAAATCATATTTAAGATATCTTCAAACTTACGTTTTAATGAATCACTTACTTATATTATAAATACATATTTACATTACTTTAGAGAACTTACTTGGCTTCTTGTAAAAATTTTATTTTCAGTTCCTGAGGAAGATCTTCTTTACACGTTTTAACAGCAACAGCAGTTTTATCCTTTAATATGCCCTTAAATACTTCACCAAAATTTCCCTGAAAATACAAATATATTTATTGTTTAGAGTGTAAGACAGCCACGTAAACCTTTGCAAAATACAAGGAAAGCATGTAACTATGAGTTTTGAGTTCATCAAAGTACTCTGTTAGCTTTATTCAGAGTTTTAAGTGGAAATAAAGACTCGGAATGTTGTTCTTACCAATTAACTTTAAATACATTACCCAACACACCAACCATTTGAGGGACTGAGGCTTGTGGAGAATTGAAAAGGAAATGGGAAAAAACTGAAATAGAATAAAAGGAAAAACTAATGCTGTCAGAAGTACCTAAGTTTCACTCCATCTAGTTCCCTTCACCCCCTTAGCTCTAAGTTTTATCAGGTTGGCGTTTAAAAATAAAGCCAAGTTTGTGACCACCTAGAGGCGGGGGATAGGGAGGGTGGGAGGGAGACGCAAGAGGGAGGGGATATGGGGATATATGTATATGTATAGCTGACTCACTTTGTTATACAGCAGAAACTAACACACCATTGTAAAGAAATTATACTCCAATAAAGATGTTAAAATAAATAAACAAACAAACAAATAAAGCAAGCCAAGATTCTGTGAGGTGACTGGTGGTATTGATCCACACAGCCAGATGTCACTTGGACGAGAGTGTGAGAGAGTAAGACACTAGATGAGAGGCAACAGAACCAAGGCAGATGAAGGACTGTCAACAGCCACTGCTGCAGGCTGTCAGTCCCTGAAAGATACCAAGGAAAACGAGGTGCTTGCCCAAATGCCAGTGTCACCCATGATGAGCTCATTTCTATCAAATGTCTGAACTCCTAACCTTACTCTATGGCTAGAACATATTTTGATTTAAAATGCCTTATTTCCAGTTTGAAGTCACTTTTATTATGGTTATGAAACAAAAGAATACAGAGAAGATCTATAAAGCTAACACAACAGCTATTTTGCAGTATTCTCTTCAAGTCTTTCTATGTATGCATATGTATTTTTTACATAGCTATAATTATAATGTGCAAGCACTGTATTATAATTAGCTTTAATGCTGTCATTGTTGAGCAACAAGTAACTAAACGAGAGGTCTGATAATCAATGAGTTTGAGTTCTAAGTTCAATGTAACCCTTAACCTATGATCCAAGGTGTATAAGTTTTACATGTTACTAATCATTTAAATTTACTAATAGGTATTTTAATAATTTATTTATTAAAGAATTACTATTTGCTTAATTTAATTAACACTTATTTTACTTAATATTTTAAGTATACTTGAATATTTAAATAATGAATAGTATTATTAAATCTAATATTCAACTCTTAAATATTCATTCAAAACGATGACTGATCACCCTTACATGAAAAGTAAACATACAATAACTTCAATACAGTGCACATTCATCACAAACTAGAAGAAGAAAAATTTGAGCTTTATATCCTTCCCTGTTACTCAAGGCTTTTTTCCTTCCCACAATTATCACATCATTTAGAGCTGAGAGAAGGTATTAGTACACACAATTACTGCTGAGCCTCTGTTTATCTGAATGATTCTGAAGCACTTAAAATTCACCCTGTCTGAAACTTAACATTTTATTCACTAGAAGACATTTCCTGACTAAATTACCTTTTCATGTACTAGGGCCATTACTCTCTATAAGCTTTCAGATTCTTCCTGTGGAACACTTTTGCCTTCCTCCTAGCACCTCAGACAGCCTACCCTGATTCAAGATCTCATTTTTCTCACCTGAACTCATCTCATCCTTAGTCCCTCACCCTCTTCGGCCCCTTAATCTCTCCAACACACAACTTTGATTATACCACTGCCTTATTTAATATCTATCCTTCCATTACCATTCCTTTCTCAGCCTCTGTCTAGCCATCTTAGCCTCTGACTGCTACATGTGTCCTAAATTCAAATACTTAGTGATCCCAAAAGATGTGCCATGCCTTCTGTACATTTTCCCCTCACCTCCAATCAGAGAACATGCTAACTAATCTTTAAATTCATTTCTATGCCACCTCCTTCATGAAGACTTTCTTGATCTTCCAAAAATTATACATCTTGTTCCTGAACACTTATCATCCCATTGCCCCTTTGTACCTTTCTAATGGTTTCTGTCCTATGTAACTGTTCTTGGCACATACAAGGCATTTGAAACTTGTAAACATTCATTTAACAATTACTCAGAAGACTTCAATTCTGTTAACAGTGATCAAGGGAGGAATCTACAAACACGGCACAAACGACTCTGCTTCACGGACCACCTCTTCTCCACCCAAAGAGGTCAGGAAAAAGCCTACAGCATCCATTGCTCCCTACCATGTAACAGGCACGGCTTCATCTCTGCTACTGGCTTTAAGTCCATGAGGCTAAATTTCATTATGACTCTTGTGTATGTTTCTGTTAGTCCTCACAGAAGATCCTGGTGGTCCTCATTTCCCCCTCTCTAATTCTCATTCGGTTCTGCAGACTCCTCGTGAACCTGTTATCTCCAACAATTTCCCTTCTGTCCCCAACCTCCAGTTGCCTTCTGGAACTTGTGATCCATCATCAAAATTTTATCTCAATCTATTCTTTGGTCCTTCTCTTAACCTTCTTGTTCTAACAGAAACCTGGCTCTCACTTGAGAACACTCAAATGGTGGGTGAGCTTCCTGTGCCTTCTAAAACTGTGATGACCCCACCTGCACCCCCAACACACACACCATGCTTCTCCCACCACCTGAGAGATGGAATACAGGATTCATCGAGCTCCTTGTCACTGTTTTCAAAACATTTTCCCTTCTGTTTTCCTAAAAACCCCTAGCTTTGAAACTTTATTATTTGATTATATACCCACTACCCCTTACTGTTGCTAGCAGCTATTGCATTTGAAAATATTTTCCCTCATTTGTTGACAATTTGAGCTCCTGGACCACTGTACCCGGTGTTACTCTTGTCTTAAAACTTGGAAATTTCAATAGACACTTAAAGATCCTTCCAACACTTCAAACTCTGTTACGTGACCATCTCTCTTCCAATGATCCATGTTCCAACCTATTTTCTATGATCATACCTTAAACTTTGCCATCACCAATAATGCAACTCCTCTGTAATACCTACGTCATTCATCCCATCTTCTGGCTGGCTTCTATTTTTCTAGCTTACTTCCTCTAGTATTCGGACTCAAAATCCTTTGACCCTATAGGAACCTCCAAATCTTTAGACCCTATTACTTTTTATCGTCCATAACCCCCTAACAGCCTTGCTTTCTTCCTTATTCAGCTTAAATTCCATGCTCAATAATTATAACAACTGTTTACTATATACTCTCAACTTCTCTGTTCCTTTTCATCTGTAGAACTCCCTTATCAAATCCACAACCCAGATTAAATGCAACATGACCTACTCTGTTCCTATGCAGCTAAATGTGGCTGGAGAAAATCCACAATGATGTTGACTAGTTTCACTTTAAATTCATGAACACAAACCTCTAGGGGGGCCTTAATACTGCTCAATAATTATATTACAATTCCCTAGACCATTCACACTCTCATTCTTCTAATTAACTATTCCCCCCCTTTGACTCCTCTTAAAGCTCCCATACCTTCCCCACACCCTCATTCTTAGTTAACAATCTTGCTTAATTTATTGAGAAAATTGAAGCAATATAAAGAGAACTTCCAGACTCTCAGTCCCACACTTACCCTCCTACCAATCTTCCTTGCTGTTATAAAAAATGAATTACTGTGCTTCTATTAAAGTCAATCCTCCATTGTAAATTAAATTCCATCCCCTCTTACCTACTTGATGATATTATTTCAGGAATTCTCATCTCCTTCCAAAATCCTGAATTTTTCACTGCATATTGCTAACTGCAAACCAGCATGCTGCCTCTCTCAGATTAACCAACAACACACAAATGATTTCTTCTGTAACTACCACCACATGTAGTTTGCTACATGAAGTAGCAAAACTTCAAAGAGTTACATCCTTGCTATCTCTAATTCCTCTCCTCCTATTCTCCCTCAAATATATTTCAGTTTGGCTTTCCCATAAAGCATTCTAAAGAAAGCGCTCAGCCAAGTCACTAGGGATCTCTTCACTGTTAAAGTCAATGGTTCTCAGTCATCACCTCATTTGACCTCTCAGCAGCACTTGCCACCACTGATCACTGTCTCCTCCTTCATATACTTTCTTCTCTTGGCTTCTAAGCCATCCTATCTCCTGGTTTCCTGCCTTCCAGGAGATTGCTCTTTCTAAACCTCAATCATCTTGCTTCTCATCTCTCCAGCCTCTTGACTTTGATGTGACCAGGATTCAATCTCTCTCTTCTCTTCTCTATCTAGACTCACTCCATTGCTGAACTCATCTAAATAAACCAGCAAATAAGTAAGTGACAACTACCAAATTTGTACTTTTGATCCACACCTCTTTTCCAAACTCCAGACTTAATACCCAACCATTTTCCCAACATCTCCACTTAGAAGTCTAACAGACAAACCTTAATATTTACATCCCAAACTCCTAATCTCATTCCCCCCCAAACCTGCTACACCTATGCCAACTGCCCTCTTTGTCCCATGCCCCGCATAGAGCAGCAGGATATTTAGGTGGTTCAACCCTAAAAACAAATCCAAACTCACCACTTCTCACCACTTCCACTGCCATCACCTCTGATCCAGCAACTATCAACTTTAGTTAGGTAAGTACAATAGCTTCCTAACCTTCCAACTCAGCCTATTCTCAACACAGTAGCCAGAATGGACTCTGTAGAAAGTAAGATCATGCCACTCCTCTACTCAAAATCATTCTCTAGCTTACCTTTCCACACACATTTAAAGCCAAAGTATTGATAATTACGGTGATCTACATGGCTCTACACGATCTATACTCTCATCACCTCACTGACTTGCTGCCCTATCCTATTCCTCCTTGCTTACTGGGTTACAGGCAAACTGTCTCTCCTGCTCATCAAATGTAATTTTCATTGGTACTCCCTCTGCCTAAAACCACATGGCTAAATCCCTCCTCCCCAGGTTTTCATTGGAAAGAAACAATCTTAATAAGGCTTACCTGGATTCCCCCATTAAAAATTGCAAGTCCAACCAATAGCACCCCTAAATTCCTTATATTTTCACAGGATTTTAGCACCTTTTAACATTATGAAGTTTACTTATTTATTAAGTTTCTTGTTTTTCTGTCTTTCCATGCTAGATAGAATATGAGCTTCATTAAGGGCAAGGATATTTGTCTACTTGGTTCACGGATGTATCCCAGGAACCTAAAAGAGTACCTGGCACAGAGAAGGCATTCAGTAAATATTTGAGGAATGAATATTTTTCTTTTCTTTTTTTTTTTTTTTTTTTTTTCGGTACACAGGCATCTCACTGTTGTGGCCTCTCCCGTTGCGGAGCACAGGCTCCGGACGCGCAGGCTCAGCGGCCATGGCTCACGGGCCTAGCCGCTCCGCGGCATGTGGGATCCTCCTGGACTGGGGCACGAACCCGTGTCCCCTGCATCAGCAGGCGGACTCTCAACCACTGCGCCACCAGGGAAGCCCAGGAATGAATATTTTTGAATACCAATTATATATCAAGTACAGTCTATAGAAATACAGTGCTCAAAAAAAGAGCTCCCATCTCAACATTATACTACTACTAAATTCCAAAGTACATAAGTATAAGAACCATGGCTAATTATTTTTCTCATGCATTTTCATGCAGTATACTATAAATACTCATAATAGGTAATGAAAATATTAAATGACATTTTCAACTCAAATATATTTGCTGAAATTAAGCTATATAGTGTCTCTAAAGTTGAAGTGTTTTATTAAAAACGATAAAATTTATTAAAGCTGATATCATGCTACTGCCTTGTCATTGAAAACAATTATTCTGTGAAATAACCTTACTGAGGACCTAACGGCTTAAATTCCTCCTAATATGTGAAACACCATGTATCACATATTAAACAAAGATAAATGAAACATTTCTCTTTAACTGAAAGTATTTTTTCCTTAGAACTGAAAAATCTGCTCTTCTCAACACACTATTTTCAGTAACTGGTTTAATTTTAGGGCTTCCCTGATGGTGCAGTGGTGAGAGTCCACCTGCCGATGCAGGGGACACAGGTTCGTGCCCCGGTCTGGGAAGATCGCACATGCCGCAGAGTGGCTGGGCCCGTGAGCCATGGCCGCTGAGCCTGCGCGTCCGGAGCCTGTGCTTCGCAACGGGAGAGGCCACGACAGTGAGAGGCCCGCGTACCGCTAAATAAATAAATAAATAAATAAATAAATAAATAAATAAATAAATAAATAAATAAAATTATAGCTTATTATTTAATTGTATTTTCATGGAAATTAATTTACTTTCTTTGTAATAATTTTTAGCCCAATCACTGCTACTGAGTTACCTAAAGTAATGAAAAAGAAGAAATATTTCCTTAAGAATTATGGCCATATCACAGAGGAAATAAACACACCAGCTACTACTTGTAGCTTGAAATTCTTTAGAATTTACTTACTAAATAAGTATTAGCAGTCAATAGAAACTGTTTTCCAATAGCAATTTAATGCTTCTATTTGGAAAAGATATTTTAAAATAATAAGAATCCTGCAAAGTAGATTGTTTCAACAGGGATTTACTTTCTCAACAGGACTAAAAGGACTAAAACATAGGGGAAATTTGTCAATTCATCAAGTTTACATTTAAATCAAAAAAGTAATGAATAATCATTTATTTCTTTACTTGAAATGCTGAGCCTTAAATTCTAGTACTGATCACTCAGAAATGTATGAGTGATAGTTTTCCCTAGCTATCTGGATTTTATACTATTTTTTACATTGCATTATGAACCTCAACTCAATTCAAACATCACTAATTAAGTCATAGACAAAGAAGTTAATATTTACCTATTGGAATTCAGTTATAAACAAATGACAAATTTTCAAATAGCCCATTTGATTATTAAATGTCTGCCATCATTATTAGTTATAATATACTTTCATATGGCCAATGAGTTGGAAGAAACTCCCAACCACGTTGGAAGAAAGAGACTTTCATCATATATAGCTGCCTCCTCTGACCACTAACAAAGCTAGCTACAAAATGGATATATTGAAACATGTGCCTTGTCCATATAATTTTCAGATTGAAATAACATGTCCCATGTTTTCACATACTGTGATTCTATATACAATTCTGAAATCCCAAAGAGCAGTACTGCATTTTCTCTGAACTATCACGTATAACCAGAAACAAATAGAATAAGACTATTAACTATTTAAACTTTTATTACATCACAGTTTCTTTTCAAATCTCAGCTCACTAGCTTTGGCTTTACTACACTGTAATAAAATTTTTGTGGCTTTTAGTTCTTTCAGAGGAAAATATACAAAATAATATTCTTAAAAGTCAAGATAATTCTTAAACTTTTCAAAGATTTTCACACTTCTATTTCAGTGAACATCACAGTATTTGTAACAGATATGGCACTGTGTTCTTCTAGGTTCATGGGGGAATGTGCCTTGCTGTGTGCTGGAATATAAGAAAGGCTTTGAAGAAAATGAATCTGTAGAGTTCACAATCACTATCAAGATATGGTTTTTCAGCTCAGTGGATTACATACCTTGCCCAGTAATTCTCCCAGTGTGACATCTTCATGATTGAGAACCCATTTCTTATCCTGTGGCAAAGAAAAAGAACAGTTTTTTAGCCCAAGCAAGAATGCAGTTCCTGGGCTTCCCTGGTGGCGCAGTGGTTGGGAGTCTGCCTGCTGATGCAGGGGACACGGGTTCGTGCCCCGGTCTGGGAAGATCCCACATGCCGCGGAGCGGCTAGGCCCGTGAGCCATGGCCGCTGAGCCTGCGCGCCCGGAGCCTGTGCTCCGCAACGGGAGAGGCCACAACAGTGAGAGGCCCGCGTACCGAAAAAAAAAAAAAAAAGAATGCAGTTCCTGTAAGATGCATTTGAGGCAGTGGCAAATAAACCTAAGAGATATTGAATTCAGACCATTCAATAATCAGCACACTAAGAAGTTGTAACTTCAAGAGGTTATAAAACAGATTTAAGAAATGTTACCAGACAATAGAACTTTAAGTTCTACATTATAGCAAACTTCTATCAGAATTCTCAGCCATCAGAATGATAGTATCCCTGTAACTAGAACACAGCATGCACTCTCCTCCCACCATAAAGCTTAGGCTATGTTATTAGTCATTTCAAAAATGTTGTGTCATAAGTACATGAGGGAATCTCATTTTGCAATGTAAAATTTCCAATCCTCACTTGATCATAGAGAATTATTTTATACCCAAACTACATTACTAAGAGCTAATTTTTCCACAACTGGTCATGAATTATAGCTGTCTATTACACTGCATATAGTCCCACATCTTTCCCAAGTAATTTCCTGTAGTATAATAAAACAACAAACATCAATTACAGTATCATCAAGGTACACAAGATCAGTGATGCAAACATGCCATTATAAAAGAACATCCCATTATGTGATCTCAAGAGCTAATCAGTACTTAGGGAATATTTTATCATCTAAAAAGTCAGAGGGCTTCCCTGGTGGCGCAGTGGTTGAGAGTCCGCCTGCCAATGCAGGGGACACGGGTTCGTGTCCCAGTCTGGGAAGATCCCACATGCCCGGAACGGCTGGGCCCGTGAGCCATGGCTGCTGAGCCTGCACGTCCGGAGCCTGTGCTCCACAATGGGAGAGGCCACAACAGTGAGAGGCCCGTGTACCACAAAAAAAAATAAAAAAAAAAAAAAGAAAAAAATAAAAAGTCGCAGCTATGAGAGCACACAGTACTGTAATGTTAGAAAGACATATTAGATTAAAAAAAAAAGAAGGAGGAAAAATGAATGAAGTGGGGTGGGGGGAGAAAGGAGAGAAGGAAAATTAGGGGATGGAGCAAAGAGAAAGAAGAAAAGAAAATCCTGGAATGATATATTTTATTCTTGATTTTTAAAAAATTTAATGTTAAAGTATAGTATTTCCCTATTAAACAGACTGAAATATAATTATGAGCTATAGAATGAATTGTAACAAGTAATCAAACACCTTGAAGTAAGAATCCACCCTAACTATGGCTTAAAAATGTCCTGGACAGCCAGCTGAAGTACTATACCTTCTGAAACACCATGTGACAAACAACCACCACACTCTGATTGTTCAACAAGGGGAACAGCAATGATTTTTAAAAACAGTTTACATGTATAATCTTTAGGGGTTCAGAATAGCCTCCCCAAGATGTGCTACTTTAGCATGTGGATTATTTTGAGCTAAAGGCAACTGAGACCCTGTGGCCTCAAGGCAAAGCTTTACTTCTCCCTTCAAGAATTTAAATTGGGGGCCTTACCCATAATAGCTATTACCAGAAATAAGTTTTTATGACCTATCTGTATGACAGGGCAAATATCCAATTACTAAACATCTGCTCTTCCTATTTGTGAATTACCCTCCTCTCTGAAGTCTCATGCCCCTATCCCATCCCTTAGCTCAGGATGGCATATATACCTCATTTTACGTTTCTAATTCAACTTCTCATGTGTGTGGGGTTCCTGTATGTACAAAATTAGATCTGATATTCTCTTGTTAATATGTCTCAGGTCAATTTAATTCTTAGACCAGCCAGAAGAACCTAGAAGGGTAGAGGAAGTTTTCTTTCTCCATGACAAGTCTTTCAACCTAAATAAAAAGCCAGAACTTTAAAGGTCCTGAAAAAAAAATATAGCAGAATATCTTCATTACCAAGTATGTAAAGAAAGATTTCTTAGACAGGATACAAAAAGCACATAAAAGAAACAACTGGAATTCATCAAAATTAAAAACACTTGTTCCTCCAAAGGCTCTTTTGAGAAAATGAAAGTCCAACTACAATCTGGGAGAACATTTTTGCAATACGTATATTTGACAAATAATTTGTATGTAAAACATATAGAGAACGCATACCTCAAAAACAAGGTGACAACCCAATTTTAGGAAATTGGGTAGAATACTTAACAAAAGAGGATGGACAAATAGACAATAAGTACATTAAGAGATGTTTAACATCACTAGTCAGTGACACACAAATACAAACCAAAATAAGATGCCACTTCATACCATTAGAATGAAGTGCCAAAAACAGAAATACAGATCATTGGAACAGGACAGAAAGACCAGAGATAAACCCACGCACATATGGTCACCTTATCTTTGATAAAGGAGGCAAGAATATATAGTGGAGAAAAGACAGCCTCTTCAATAAGTGGTGCTGGGAAAATGACAGGTACATGTAAAAGTATGAAATTAGATCACTCCCTAACACCATACACAAAAATAAACTCAAAATGGAGTAAAGACCTAAATGTAAGGCCAGACACTATCAAACTCTTAGAGGAAAACATAGGCAGAACACTCTATGACGTAAATCACAACAAGATCCTTTTTGACCCACCTCCTAGAGAAATGGAAATAAAAACAACAGTAAACAAATGGCACCTAATGAAACTTCAAAGCTTTTGCACAGCAAAGGAAACCATAAACAAGACCAAAAGACAACCCTCAGAATGGGAGAAAATATTTGCAAATGAAGCAATTGACAAAGGATTAATCTCCAAAATTTACAAGCAGCTCATGCAGCTCAATAACAAAAAAACAAACCATCCAATCCAAAAAATGGCAGAAGACCTAAACAGACATTTCTCCAAAGAAGATATACAGATTGCCAACAAACACATGAAAGAATGCTCAACATCATTAATCATTAGAGAAATGCAAATCAAAACTACAATGAGGTATCACCTTAAACCAGTCAGAATGGTCATCATCAAAAAAATCTACAAACAATAAATGCTGGAGAGGGTGTGGAGAAAAGGGAACACTCTTGCAATGTTGGTGGGAATGTGAATTGATACAGCCACTATGGAGAACAGTATGGAGGTTCCTTAAAAAACTAAAAATAGAACTACCATACAACCCAGCAATCTCACTACTGGGCTTATACCCTGAGAAAACCATAATTCAAAAAAAAGTCATGTACCAAAATGTTCATTGCAGCTCTATTTACAATAGCCAGGACATGGAAGCAACCTAAGTGTCCATCAACAGATGAATGGATAAAGAAGATGTGGCACATATATACAATGGAATATTACTCAGCCATAAAAGGAAATGAAATTGAGTTATTTGTAGTGAGGTGGATGGACCTAGAGTCTGTCATACAGAGTGAAGTAAGTCAGAAAGAGAAAAACAAATACCATATGCTAACACATATATATGGAATCTAAGAAAAAAAGAAAAAAAAGGTCATGAAGAACCTATGGGCAAGACGGGAATAAAGACACAGACCTACTAGAGCATGGACTTGAGGATATGGGGAGGGGGAAGGGTAAGCTGGGATGAAATGAGAGAGTGGCATGGACATATATACACTACCAAACGTAAAATAGATAGCTAGTGGGAAGTAGCCACATAGCACAGGGATATCAGCTAGGTGGTTTTTGACCACCTAGAGGGGTGGGATAGGGAGGGTGGGAGGGAGGGAGACGCAAGAGGGAAGAGATATGGGAACATATGTATATGTATAACTGATTCACTTTGTTATAAAACAGAAACTAACACACCATTGTAAAGCAATTGTACTCCAATAAAGATGTTAAAAAAAAAAAAGAATTAAGTGCCTTCTATTTACAATAGCCAAGACATGGAAACAAACTAAATGCCCATGGATAGATGAATGGATAAAGATGTGGTATATATATACAATGGAATATTACTCAGCCATAAAAGGAATGAAATTATGCCTTTTGCAGCAACATGGATAAACCTAGAGATTATCATACTAAGGGAAGTAAGTCAGACAGGGCAAGACAAATATCATATGATATCACTTATATATGTAATCTAAAAAAAACAATACAAATGAACTTTACAAAAACAGAAAGAGACTCACAGACAGAGAACAAACTAATGGTTACCAAAGGGGAAAGGGGGTGGGGAAGGATAAATCAGGAGTTTGGAATTAGCAGACACAAATTACTATATATAAAATAGATGGGGCTTCCCTGGTGGCTCAGTGGTTAAGAATCCACTTGCCAATGCAGGGGACATGGGTTCGAGCCCTGCTCTGGGAAGATCCCACATGCTGTGGAGCAACTAAGCCCATGTGCTACAACCACTGAGCCTTCGCTCCAGAGCCAATGTGCTACAACTCCCGAAGCCCGGGCACCTAGAGCCTGTGCTCTGCAACGAGAAGCCTGTGCACCACAAGGAACAGTAGCCCCGATAGCCTCAACTAGAGAGAGCCTGCACACAGCAACAAAGACCCAACACAGCCAAAAATAAATAAATAAATAAAATAATAAAATAGATGAAGAAAAAGTTCCTAGTGTGTAGCACAGGGAACTATATTCAGTATCTTGTATAAAAAAAAAAAACAAACTATAATGGAAAAGAATCTGTAAAAGTTTATATATATATATACACACACCCACATATATATGCTGAATAACTTTGCCGTATACAAGAAACTAACACTGTAAATCAACTATATTTCAATTTTTTAAAAAAAGTGCCTTGAAGAGCCTGTGTCTGGGATGTCTCTCAGATCTTTTATGCTTGTTTACAGTTGGTGACAGGATGAGATACTGAAAGGACCCCTAACTCTTGCAATTTAAATAATGACTATGGTG